AAATAAGAACCTCATTTATTTAAATGCCCCACTTAACCTTACAATTTGTACTTCCATGTGTTTTCTTATGAATGTAAGTCTGCATTGTATAAATACAATAACATTATTTCTACGGTCAAAAATCGCACAGTGCTCATTCCTATTGACACACTCCACCCAGTGATGGAAATGTAATTCTCATGATGTGGATCATCCCTTCTAGAGGACAACCACTGACAGAATCCCCAATGAATAAATGTTTGAGTTCAAGCACTCGGTCGAATACTACATAGATTGCTTTGAAAAAAATCCCCCCCCCACGAATTTCCTTCTGTATCTATCAGCTCAATATATCTCTATAAGGCATTCACTTCTCTGACTGCCCAGTTATCAATTCGTGGTTGTGATGTTCTAATAAGAAAGCAGCGATACAGTCTGTTGTAACAGCGGGTATCAAATTCCATCTCGGTGTAACAAGGGACATCCTTTTTATGCAGACAATCCGAATTGTATTCAATACAATGAGATTATCTCTCAGAAAAAAAACATTCTCAGTGTATGGTATACATAGATAAGAGCACCAAATTGGTATGGAATTTATTCCACTGTCCAGCTTATGGCCTTCACTGTAATCTCCAAGAAGCAGCTACCATGGGAACAGATAAAACATCGTTTCTCTTCCACTGTCAATATTGAGGTCTCCCAGAGTTGATCTCGCCAAATAAAGTGCCAATACCTTAATTAGGGGACAATTTTTGTGCGGCTACGGAACAATGCCCTCAACAGATTAGATGAGATCATTGTAGTTGCTTAACGTGCAATCCTTCGACAATCCCTCGAGTGACAAGAGTTCAAAGCGATTGATTCAGGGTCGGCATTGAGACCTGCAAGGGGCAACAGACAACACAATGAAAGCAAACGGCTCCGCCTACACCGGGGGTCGGCAACCAAAATAACAAGAAGAGCCATTTCTTTCCAATTCGGTACAAAATTCAGTATTTCAAGAGCCGCAATGCATCTGAGTACATACTGTACATACGTACATATCGTCAAGAAGCAGCCCGTAAAGAGCCGCATGCGGCTCCGGAGCCGTAGGTTGCCGACCCCTGGCCTACACGGTTCACGCTGGCCCATGTGATTTTCGAACGAGTAAAAGGTGCGGGGCTGATATGTCTTGCTCATGCCACTACTGGCAAAAGGGCCTACTCTTCCGCACGGGCCAGAACATCCTGGAACAGCTGGGAGAACCCACTAAACTATCGATCGTCTAACTGTGATGCACATATTTATACTTCTGGGTGGACAGAGTTGGGGAGGGGGGGTTTGAAACTTGCCCCATTGTTTCAACTGCCCACTCCAGGAGATACAACTGGTGCCTCCTGGATTGCAAGTCCAGTGTCCTGACTCTTACAGCATCCTCAGTTTCCAGAAGAGCATTACGCTAAAATTCATGTTTCAATGCCTGATGGATTTCATTTCCGAGGAAAGTGTCATAATATCAAATGATTATTTTCCAGCCCCAAGCAACAAAATCTACATTTTAATAAAATACAAAGTGAACACAATTAATCAAACTTTCTTGCCAATGAACTTGTCTCTTATAATGTATGCACAACATAAGGTTTAAACTACGAAACAAAGTAGCCAATATATTACCAGCTCATAATTATATATGTGGAAAAAAGTATTTTTGGCATTAGTGTAAATTAAAAATTAATGATGTGTACCATATGGCATCTTACAGTTGTCCCTTTTGTACATCAATTTGGCAATTATCACAAGGAGACGAAAAGTAAAGGACATTTTACATTTAACCTCAGTGCCATAATTCCAAATTGCTTGCACGACACATATTAGCTGCAGATTCAGTCGTCGTTAACCGATGCATATGTTGACAAAATATAAGTTGGAGCTCAGTTTATGAAGTTCTGTATATTTGGCTGCCATTCCATCATGTTTCTATGAAATGACAGCATTTTTGTGGAAACAAATCATCCCCATTTGACCATGAGGCACGATTCCACAATTGGTGGACGACTTACCGCTGCTCGCCACCCCTTCCACACTTGCGAAACGACTCAATGTGGGTGAGGTTTTTGGCGAAACTAGAGCCGAGTTGCCAACATGCCGAGAGGTTTCCGCTTTTGGCATTGCACAATGAGCTGTGGGATTTCATTGATCAGTATTTTGGGGGGCGGGGGGAGGGCGGTGACGTCACTGCAAGGAGCAAAGCCTGAAGGAGGCCTGACTTCTCATCTCACCTCCAAGTCGTAAACGTTGGGACTATTTGGGGCACATCAAACGCCCTGTTGGATGTGGACACACACTCAACTATTTTTTTTTATTTTAATGTAGAAATGTGTTTGCATGCGCACGCACATGCATGCTTTGGGAGGGAAAGCTTTTGGGGAGGGTGGTTAGTGCATTCGTGTATGACCTCGAAAACTTACGTTTCTGGATATGTATGTATGTAGAACTTTATATTGTATTTATACCTACGTGACTTGACCGAAAGAACCAAACAGTATGGATTCTTGCAGTCACGAACGTTTCAAATCAAGATTATGTAGAACTTCTTTCACACCGTACGTGGCCAACCGTCCTAATAAGAGGTGCGGATAATGTTAGTGGTCACTGAGGACGTGTCTATAATCCAGTAACTTGGAGGTCAGCTTGTTGGTTCATGTGGGGATCCGATTTTGATATAGGACAGGTTCAAATATCGCTTGAAGTTAATGTGAGCTGTGGTTAGGACTCAAACTATGGTCACCTGGTTCAGAGGCGCTGTGTCCTAACCCACTGGCACTGCCGCTTGCCCTACTGTATATATACAACACTGGGAAAGCCCGCTTCCTGTCAGGGTTACAATTGATTCTAGATTTGAAGCTTTCGTGACTGCAAGGATTCACACTCTTAGGTTTTTCTGGTAAAGTCACGTAGGTAAAAAATAAATAAAACAAAATAAATAATACAAAATAATAGAAATAAAATAATAAATCACGTCTTCAGGTGGAACCTGAAGACGGAAGCTTGTATTGCCTCCGAAACGTCGTAATTTATTATTTTATTTCTATTATTTTTTCTATTATTTATTACTATTTATTATTTATTTTTTACCTACGTGACTTTACCGACAAAACCTAAGAGTAGGGTCACAATTGCTCAGAGTTATGTAGAGGGTGACAAGATGACCACAATCCTCTGCAGGAATTTCTGATAGTTTTGACACAGAGGATCTGTGATTTTTACACAATGTTGCGTGTTGTTTGAAACTATGTGATTTCCTGGCCTGCACTATTATTCTGTATTGATGGCTTTTTTCTCATCATCGACAGACTTGCATACTGGGAAAGACTATAGAATGTGATGAACGTACACCATACACTAAGGCAGTACGTGTCGCTTTCCATTAAATCATGATAATCTTCACACGTATTTGAAATTTACCCTCAACATTTTCTTGTCGCATGCAGCTGTGCGGCATCTGACCGTGGCATATGGGAGTATGGGGGGCGGCAAGGCTGGCTGATTACCAGCGGGTCAGGGTCAGCGAACATCGGTGAGCGGTGCAAGCAACAGGGAATGCAAAGCGTGATCGTTTCCACTTCCCCTCTCATGCTAACACCTGCCAGGCGCACAGTAATTCTGCCCCCCCTCGCCCTTTGCATAAAATTAAGCCCAAAGTCAATATTCATAAACAGTAACACCAGCACGGTGGTCAAAATGATTATGATGTCTGCATAAATCCGGCGCTAACATACGGGCTTCGTCGCCCGACTTCTGCTGATGCATTATGCATAGCCGCTCATTGTGATGTTGGCATTGAAATATTTGCGGAGCATTTGTATGATTTACGTGGCGTCATTCTGCTCCGTGCCCTGTCCGACCTTAAAAAGCAACTGTTTGACTTATCTGCATTAGTCAATCGTTACATGACGTGTGCATTTTGTTACCACCTCGGTGTAAATCACGCTGGGGAGCTTCTTTCCTATTGAGATGTTAATTATACTTGGTGAAATCTTGCTTAGATTTCGATTTTAACAATATTCAACTCACGAAGCATTGCAACGAAAGTTGGGTTATGCTCCTAATATGGATGCCCTAGAAGGGAAATGTTGTCTACACATATTAACAAAATAAAATAATCAGACAGAGCGTCTCCTTAACATATTTCTCTCTCTGCCACAAATATTCTGGATGCAGGTAAATAATCTTTCCAGGAAGAGGGTGGAATTGGTTTACACACACACAGTGCTCCCTTCAAAAGCCGTGCCTCAAAATATTACCATGATTCCAGAAATCTTGGCAATATTTTGGCAGAAATCTTTCCTGAATTCCTGAATTATTCCACAATCGCTCATTACAACGTGATCGTTGTTGTCGAGTATATGTGGAACAAAATACGTACGCCCCCTTTCCACATCCATCTCACCATACCAAGAGTTACACAACCCATCAGCCGCACGGCCTTCTGGGAATGTATAATTTCACCATCATTGTTTCAAGACAACCAAATTCTAGACCAAGTTTTGACATAGTGTCTCATCAGTAGAGTCAATCTTGTTTCAATTAATGCTGGCGAACTGCCAATCTTCCAGACAAGCACTCTCTATTGTCGGTATTGGGTCCCTGTTCACAAATGCAATGCTTTTTGTTTCAAGTATGCCATGACCAATCTTACCCAAAACTACAGATTTGGGCATTAGTATTAGTCAGCTGTGGTAAGTTTTGGAGTACTTGGTTTTGGAGTTTCGTAATTATCATGGAAACTCGAGCCGTTTCATCGCAGGAACAGACGTAACGTTCCTTAAGGATTTGGTGAAATCTTGCTAACAGACTTAATGCATCCCTTAACCCCCTCATGCATCAATCAATCATTGTAATGTGTTGAAATATTTTTGTATAATTTAGCAGTGGCCGTGATGCACGGCCCTGGCACGGCTCAGTTGTACAGTGGAAAAAAGGTCTGGGTGACAGACTTGTTGTGTTTGCAGAGCGCTGCCTACCCAGCGCAGCCTCACCTTGGCAATCTGCACAGCCCAGTTGAGAAGCAGCTGGGAGCCAATGTGCTCCTTGTGCTCGCGCGTGTACTCCAGCAGACAGCCGAGCGGCATGAGCTGGGTCACGAGCTGCACGTTCGACGTCAGGCAGATGCCCAATAGCCGCACCAGATGAGGGTTGCAGACTGTGGCCATGATGAACGCCTCCTGCCCGACGTTCAACACACGGTGCGGCCATTTTGAGACACACGATATACAACGGTTCTCAACGGTCTTCATTTAGCCGGAGGAAAAGCAACAGAGATTTACTTTGTAAAGGAGACCGAAGCAAAACAAGGCCGAGATCACTTTAATTTCAGAGAGTTTGCTTCTGTGGACTAGATGCGCAGAACATATGCTTGCTTATCCAGACTAGTTTTAGCAGCGGGCTGCAAGATCTCGCTACCTTCTAGAGGTAAAGAGTCACCTACAGTGGTTGACTTCTACAAATGAAATTATTGGAATCTTCAATTTTCCCTTTCAATTGGAAGGCACGGGTTTGACAATGTTTTGGGCAGCCAAGGAAGCCGAAACACTGGCAAGGGAAAACTCGATAAGTGTCCAAACGCACTGCCCATGAGGCCATTCAGCAAACTCAATGCAAGTGCTGACTCGTATGCCACTCGCCCAACTGTAAAAATGCCTTTGAGAGCTACCGCACATGCACACACGAAAACATGGCATTGTGTTGAACAGAGCCAATACGAGTTGCAATATACTGGTGGTGGTTTGGCGTTGACGTGCTGCATGCAAAATTGTACAACATTCCCATTTGTTTTATATCCTTATCAGAAATGAATTTCGCGTGATCTATTAATGTTTTAAACCCATTCAACCATGCAGACCTCAGGACAATGGCTATTAAGCCGAGGTGTAGCCACCTCTGTCTGTGCTGATATTATAAAGGTTTTCTCAATTTAAGATATAAACGCTGTAACTATACTGGTAATACATTGGGACCTGGCAGTGGTCTCACCGACATTAGCCTCCTGAGCCACCCAGCAATCTTCAGTCAGCCAGCTCATAAGGATGGCAAACACTGAACTCCAGTGTCAATATCACTGATTTGTGCATGCTACTTGCTTGGCATGCGATATGTCTTATTTGTTCTGTCTCTTTTGATTATACTTCCCATCTCGTTTGTTAGGTCTCATTTGTACCATCTTATTTTGTGCGCATCAGCCTACATGCCATTTTGAGAGCACATTGCCAATCCGCTTGTTGGATGCAGGTCTCCCCATGTGGGCGTCGCGGTGGCTAGGAGATGTTAACTACCTCGCCTGGTATGAAGGAGGTCGTGGGTTCGATCCCGACCCTGATGCCTGTTCTATATTTGGAGTGTGCACGTTATCCCCGTGGTCGCATGTATCTTTCTCCGAGTCCTCGGGTTTTCCCCTCCACATTTAGTAACACGCGTTCAGAGTATTTATCATTTATGGCCAGGTCGCTTCAGAAAAAGAGCATTAGAGCTCGGTGCGGCTTACCTGGTAAAAAAAGAGTTTAGTTTTAAATAGTTGAATGTGTGATTCATGAGGTGTGTTTGTTTGACCATACTTCATCATCCCTAGCCACTGATATAAACCATGGCCCAGAATCCAACTTAGGTTGCTGGGTTAACAGTGTGGTGTGTGAACTCTCCAGCACATGTAATATTTGTTGTAATTTTTTTTTTTACCCATAAAAAATAAATGATTAAAATTATGTATTGTGATTGTAAGGGTTGATTATAATTGAGGATGCATTGTTCAATGCCAACTATGCACTAACGTTAACAGCCACCTGGGGGAATTATAGTCTACATTAATTTATGGCCAGGCTATAACTGAAAACTAGCATACTCAAGAGAACATGGAGTTTACCTTTGTAGCGTCCACTGTATATACACCATCTAAAACTGTTCAGTGTTTCACTACTGACAGCGAGCTATTTCAGCTGGCAAGCTATTTCAAGCTGCACCACAATCACTGTGCCAGCCTTGTGTGCGACACAGGCTTTTAGGATCTTAAGGAACAAGTGGCACTGTACTGGTGTTTTGTTTTGATAAGAAATGTTTTTTGCTGAAATGACCATCTCTGGCTGCTGGCAACCCACACAATTTCACGTTCATTCAGATAACTCTCCTATCTTCTAAGGCTGTACGGGCGAGCAGTGTGTGGCATTGTATAGAATGCAATTGTGGCTTTGGCGTCAGAGTGGCAGCCACGGGCAGAGAGCGTATGCGCTGTGCAGGAGCAATGCTCACGTGTGCACATCACACGGCTACGCTCTCGTCAAAAGCGGCGTGTGCCGTCGTCATTCATAATATTATTATCAGGCATGGAAAATCGCGCGTGACTCCAATTACAATATGCATGTTTTTTAAAAAGATTTAAACCAACAATGGCAGGGGGCAATTTCCGTCGTCATTCTGGATTTGCGCACTTCATAATCCGACTTGAAATCTTAATGCAACCCACTGAGCACGCACGGTGTCCACCTGTCACAACTTCATCTCCAACGAGACAGCAACAAACCGTTTGCTTTATGCTCCTCGGGGAGGCTATAATTACTGCCAAATAAAACCCGACAGAAAAGAGGATTAGGGAAATGCTCTGCATCAGGAGGTTTTATCAGATTTTCACGAAAGCAGATGTGCTAGTTTCATCTTGATTCCCCAATTTATGATTTTTTTTTATCACAGAGTAACACAAATATACAAGCAAATAGTTTTCCAGCGGCACGCTATACAGCGCCCGACTTACGAATGAAAAATGTATGAGTTCAAATCCCTGTTCAAGTGCCAACTCAGCCATATCACACTCCCAGTGGAGATAACGTGAGAACAAAGTGAAGAGTGACGGTTCCATCTGAAATTCTGCATGAATAATAATAATAATAATTTACACTTCTAGAGCGCATTTCACCTGGAGGTCACAAGGCTCCGTACAAAACAAACAAGAACAAAGATCCCCCGTATAGCCTGAACAGACTGTTGGGGCAAGTGCTGGTAGCCAGCACCTATGAAGGTCGGAACGGCACACGAGGGGGTGGGTGGCCAACACCACACCCGACCGCTTTTGGCTCCCTCGTAGCGATGTTTACACACTGCACCAGATGCTCATTTGAGGCCGAGTCGACCTAGGGGAGGCCCAGGATCGGTTCAGAAAATCGTCACTGGTGTTGGCCGTGAGCGGGAATCGAACTCTGGTCGCCGGGTTCATAGCACACCAAGCTAACCGCTACACCACCGTTCCCACACAAACACACGCACACACGCTGGCTGACACCAATCCAAGACAAAGAATTCAATAAGTAGAAAAAGCCCTTAAAATAAGTTGCGTCTGAAAGCAGGGATTGTAGTGGAGCGAGGAGGGGGGGAAGTCAGAAGAGCGAGCGTCCAGTGGAAGTGAAGTCCACAGCCCGGTAAATGGGATTGAGAGGAGTTCTGTCCATATTTGTTTCATTGAAATCGAATACGTATACCCAAAATGAAACACTGCACCCTTACAAATAAAGATATATTTATTATTCCATAACTATTCTAACGGCAGCAACACAAATAATACTGTAAATATATAAAATCACATTTCACACCACACTTTTGCATGAGCAATAATTTTATGGTCTTGGATATATATATATTTGTTTGTGAAATATCATCAAAATGAATAGAGCTCTTTTCACAGATCATTTGACTCATTTAATTTGCTTTTATTTTGCTAATAGGACAGTTTTCAAACAATGCTCCACAAACGATAGGCAATTCAATTATAAGGCATACAAATTAGCCTCTTAAAATCCAAATAACTGCATCCCAGAATTTGCAGATGAGAAGCATCAGCTTTGATTCAGATATTTGTAGGACGATGCACTCAAGAAACTGTGATTTATGTTTTTTTGTGAAAATCCATATTTGAATTAACAAGTACATTTGTTCTGGATTATAATGTCTTAGAGAATGCAAAAAATTACACCGTTTATATAAATTAATACTAAATAATCAGTCTACGCTACCAACACGATCAAAAACTATCCTACATTATCTCAATGCTATAAAAAATATATACATCCATTATTAAATAAACCATTAAATTCCTTGTTCATCTAAAAGCAGTGTGATAAATGTTTTATACAACACAGATGTTGTAAAAAATGCCTGCTTTATTACAACATTGTATATGTTTGAGCTTATTTAAGTGCACTGCTGGACAAACTACCGATTAAAAGCTGATAATTGTACAACCCATTGTTTTTGTCTGCAAATGCTCATACTCAGTCATTTGCATAGCAAAATTATTCAATTACATGTATTATAATCTGAACAGATTCGGTAAAAAAAAATCAGAGTGAACCAAGTGATGAGACCAACTGTGCAAGCGTCTGAACGCGCCACGATTTAGGCCGGGCCACGATTGAATCAGCTGATGGCGATGGTCATTGATTGGCCGATTGTAAAGGAAGCTCTTTGTTTTCTATTTCACAGTGATAACATATGCACGTTTTACTGTGTCAAATAAATTCACGATAAACACGGTCTATTGTACAGAGGATGCCTAATTTCTCAGGTCGCCCCTCGCAGAAGCGGCGATGTTCCACGTGTCTCAATGGGTGTCTTTAATCTCCCGATTTAATGAAGAATACAGCAGCAACACCTATAAAGCAAAAATAAACCCCAGTCAGCCAGTGTTGCTTTCTTGGTTCCGTTAATTTAACTACATATTACATTCTCTCTGGTGCTTTCGGTAAAGTCACGTAGATAGAAAAAATAACAAAATAAAACACGACGTTTCGGTCGCAACACATGCGTCCGTCTTCAGGTGTGAAACATTTATCTGTTGTTGTGGCTTTATATAGGGACGGGAGGGGAGAAGGAAGGGGGGAAGAGGTTTGGCTGTGGGAGTTCACAGGGGAGAGGGGGGAGGGTTTGTGGCGTGCATGGACGGGTAGGGCTAGAGAAATTAGTAAGTAATAGGACGTGTAGTACAAGTCGTAATCGGACGACGACAACCGGGTGGGTGAGTGAAAATCAGAGCAGTTAAAACTTGACGTGGTTTATCACATCCTTCCAGTGATTGCTCAATCTGAATCCATCTTCTCGATTAAAGTTTTGTCTGTGCGTGTATATCTGGATGGCTTCATGAACACATCTCTGAAGGTGGCCCGAGGGTTTGCAGAGTGCCTTGGTCTTGGAGAAAACAATGTCACGTGTGCCCACAGCGTGGAAACAACGATCCGCCACTGCCGAGGAGTTGGTTCTGGCTGTGTGAACTCCCAAAGCTAAACTCCCCCCCCTCCCGTGCCTATATAAAGCCACAACAGCAGATAAATGTTTCACACCTGAAGACGGACGCTTGTGTTGCGATCGAAACGTCGTGTTTTATTTTCTTTTATTATTTAAGTGACTTCAACGAAAGAACAAGAGAGAATGGATTCCTGCAGTCACGAAAGCTTCAAATCAAGATTACATATTACGTTATTTAAATATTCCAATGCTTGATTGTTGTGTCAGTAAGAATTGTTTTTCTTTTAATAGGTAAAACATTTAAAGTTCTCTAATACTGTAATCCATATCGATCGTGTATTCAATACAAACACAGTGCATTGTAAATCGATTATAAATTATATTGAGCAATGAAAGTAGTTTTTTTTTGGGAGTAAACTGAAGAGTCAGATGAGATGACAAAAGTGTGTTTGATGATGATGACTTGGATGTGTAAAACAAAAAAAAATATTTGTTTTGCAAACAATACTACGTACGTCCAATATCTCTTTGTTGGCTTTCGAAGACGTCCCTTCTCTCAGCACCTTGATCGCCACAGGGATCTTCACATCTTCTCCCTCCGGGGTCCAGATCCCCTGCAGAGGAGGAACATCTGCTTCAATCACCAAGTCATCTCAACACAGCTATGCACAACGTAGGGAGAGGTTCAAAAGGGAAAGGTGCCACCCCGAAATTACTCACTCACACCACTGCCGGCAGAAGTGGAAGCTCTATGGGCAATTTTGGCCTAAGCTTCCTTAATGGGCAGACACCATGGAAGGAGTGAGAGTACCCACACTTTACCCCACCGCAAGCGACGTTCTGATGGACGAACTATGCTCTACCCATGTATAGTGCCGGGTGATCTGCACAATGGCAAATCGAAGCATGGACCTCTGGTTTGCAAGTCCAGTGTGTTGTCCATTCCACCACGGCTGCATCCACATGTATTCAGGTCAACTCTCCTACACGTGACTCGTCGTCTCCAGAGTTATCACCTGGTTAAACTAAATAAACGTGAATATACTAGAGGTGTTGTTATAAATAAAGCATAATTTGTCTCCTTCATGTGCATGTCACGCTGTGTGCATTTAAAAGGCATTGAACCCTGTCCAGTAACTTTAATGGAAGCATATTGGTAACACCTACATATACTTTAGAATAAAAAGGCACATTCACACCGTACCAGGCATCACTTTACGGTTGAGCCAACCTAGTGGAGAACCGTGCAGGTTTTAGATGACCACGAGCGTGTGGCCGAGAATCAACCCTGTCGCTGGGATCGCAGCAAAGAGGGGCCACTTAGCCACATCTCTCTACTCGCACAACGAGTCATCACTCCACGTGTTCCAGTCATTGTTCTCCAAGTGGAGCACATACGGCATTATACTGGTAGGAACCTCCTGGTTACACCAGCCCACAGGGGATTATTGTGTCCATCCGTCGTGCAGGGAGGGGCTGGGTGGGGAGGGAGGGGCTGGGTGGGGAGGGGAGGGTGGGGGAGGGGCTGGGTGGGGAGGGTGGGGAAGGCCTGGGTGGGGGGGGTGGGGCTGGGTGGGGGGTGGGAGAGGTGGGCTGGGTGGGGAGGGGCTGGTCACCCCGTGGTGCCCTTATAAAACTCAACGTTTAACCTACTCACGCCGGCTTGTGCCCGCCCTCACAGTCGGGCATATTGGCGGAATACACCACGCCGCCGTTGGCCCTGCAGGCCATTGACCGAGCAACCCGACGTTTCCACCAGCTCCCTCCGCAGGACAAGGTGTTTTACTCACTCAATGCATTCTCTGTTAGGACCAGTACAGTGAACAACAAAAAAGCTGACATCGAAATGAGCCCAAACATTGTTGCAGCGAGGTATGAAGTTTGTTTTAATTTATACATTGTCCACATTGAAATACATTCTTGCACACAATACAGAGGGGAGCGGAAAATTGTGAAACTCTTTAAAACTCCCACACCCTCGGCTGCTGCCCTGACCTTCATTCATGGTTAGTTAGTTTCGCCCGGGTCCAGCCCTCCGGGCCATAAAATATTTAAATGGATCATGCCTCAAGCTGTAATAAAAGTTTTAACTGCCGAGCATCCATGCAAAGATTTAGTGGCTGGTGGTGGAGATTGTTAGACGTGTACAGATGCTGTTTAAAAAAAAGAAGAGTATGAAAGTTGTCTTCCATGTTCACTTACCAGTTGAAACCGAAATATTTATTGCAAATGAAATGGCCAAAAGTGAAATTACTTCAAGATGTATCCCACACCTTGTCATGTGACGTACGTTAGGCAATATTGTCTTGACGCAGAGCAGCGTCAGTGGACATTTACCACTTCGAGTTGGCAGAGTGTGAATAAAAAATCGATACATCTCTGATTATCAACCAGAACATTATCTATCCACGGGGATCATTGAACAATTTCAGACGAATTTAGCATTTCGGTTTTTAAAGTTCTCAATGCTGTACGCCAACATTTGAAACGCTGAATGAACAATAAACCCTTTACCGGAAATTCAGCTCACCATTACCAATCCCATTACCGACGTAAGGCATCTGTCGAAGTAAAATCCATGACAGGAATGATTGAGCACGACAGGTTCACTGAAGATGGTGGTAAGCCTCAACACAATTCATCTTCACATTCGCAGTTCGGATCAATGATAAACCGTACATTTACCAATGTGAGATCCCATTGATATACCATAATTAATTAGGGACAACTTTGTAACACGTGTTTTGAGGTAATGAAAAAAATGAACGTGTAACAAGGATCCTGGCTGCCTCGGGGGGAGATCATTTTAAGGTGACGTCTCTCAGTAGTCAACACTGCTGAGACCCCGTAGTTTTTTCTTTCTTTCAGCAACGTGCGATTTAAAATCGCGACAACCACTATTGTTTTTTATGACCTCGGAATAGCCACCATTGATTGCACAAACCCATAATTACTTTGATCATCCGCACCTACAATTAGAATGGTTGGCTTTGTACGGCGAGAAAGAATTTCGACATACATACATAGAACTGTATTATAATTCCGGATCATTGCTGATGCAGTCCATTGAAAATTAACTTGTGATTTTTGAATATTATATAAAAATGTATTAGAATAAAATATACTACTATAAGAACTGGTCATTATACTCGTATTCAAGGATTGTAGGGATGCTGTATAATTGCTGGGTTCAGTGGACCTCTGGTCAAGATTTGAACTCACCACCTTTCAATTTGTGAGGCTATATTTGCCACAATCCCACCTGGCTTCATCAGCCCCATGTGCGGCTCTGGCTGCCTTTAAAATGATGAACAGGCTGACCCAGTGATGATTGTCAGTCGTTTTAAGGATGCATTATGGGATAGCACACACTTCTTTTCACTTAACAAACATAAAGAGCACACCTAGAAAAAGTTTGGACAAAATTAGACCAGGGATTTAATATTATTAATCTCATAAGTGGTTTCGGTTGAACCACTTCTGGTGTGACCAGGGGTATGTGCCACTTTCGAACATCGATGGGGCATCGTGCGACTACATGGCAGCCCACTGTCTCCTGGTTGCACATCGTCCCTCCGGCTGTGAAGTCCATCACATCGTGCCCAGCGGACTGCTTCCCCTGCACGTGCTGGAGAAGGAGGAGGCTGTCACGTGGCTCTGTAGCTACACATGTATTTATTTTACTATTTATTTTGCTTGCGTATCTGGGTGCATTCGCTAAATAATATCTCAGGAGTTTCACTGTAACCATCAGTGTTCTCAGATTGGAGTGAAGCTCTTACCTTGTGCACAGTTCCAAAGGCCCCCGAACCGAGAATCTTGCCACGCCGGAGTTCCGTCTCCTTGAGGATCCGTAGCTGGGCCTGGTTCGGGGCGGCTCCACTCGGAGTCAGCGGCTCCACCAGCTGCCAGCACAAACAACGCGGCTCTCTGCAATGTCCGAAGGTCCTGCACAAGCGTGATTAAAATGACCTACATCCTTCATCATCAGTGCCTCATCAAAGCAATATATTAACGTGGGATAAGGTCTCAGCTTTGAATAAGGGGCATTCTTTTGGAGAATAACTTTTGCCTTAAAACATGCAGTTATGAAGAAGGACCATTGTCCAATAAATGACTAACTATCGTTGTGTTATTTATATAGAATGCTGATTATTTGGGAGTCGAAACCAGGGTTTACAGAACGTCATCTCTACCATTGGATTTCTGGAAAATTAGATGGTCTGTATGCAACATGACCATGGTACTGATGGATGAACAAAACTCAATATCAGAATATTTATTTAGACTGGAGGAAAACTAACTTAGGACAACTTCCACTGCCTTGATTGGACATTGAACCCAGCAGGTCTAGATAGTGCTTCTGTAGCATTGGCCTTCACACCAAGGTGACTTCACATTAAAATCACATCTTCCTTTTATTATCCATTAGAGCGTCACTGATTCTCAGAACTCTTTTTGAATTTTGATACGTTCCTAGATGAGTGTCATCCTGCTAATACAAGGACGTTTCACCGTGCCGTTGTTGCTTTTGTTTAACTCTGTAACCTTTGTCGGTGCAATTTCAGTAAATATCGCAAAGCAAATGGAGGCATGACCCTCGTACGTATGCGAATTTTTACACGTATTTTAATTGAATTCAGCGAATTATATTTCACGTTTTCAATGGCAGCTTTCCTCAACTCATTATAAAGTGCAATTATACTTTCAGATTCTGACAGTAACATACACCACAAGAGATCATGTTTCGAAATAATTTCCTTCAAAATTTCAACTCAGCATTGCGTTTCTAAGTGTAATCTCAGTGGACACGCTATTTTCTTTATTCCAGTTAACAGAATGCAGCTGCATGCCACTGTGGAAAAAGCACTCGGCCACACGAGTTAAAATCCTTTATCGCGAGTCGTCTCAGCCGAGCATCCCTTTGGGTTCAACAGCGTCAGAACCAATGTGTGGGAAATCAACAGCGGTTGTCCTCTGACGAGAATGGTCCCCCACCTTGTTTTCATTTTCCCTGACGTCAGCTCGAGAGCGACTGCGCAGAATTTTGGACAATGCCCGAGGGCCACCAACAGACATGAACACTTGCGCCGCCCGTGCGTTTGAGCCAACAAAAAAAAAACTTTGATTTCACGCAATTGTAATTTTCCCTCCGACAGCCTTGACAGCTTCCCTTCGCGTACATGCACACGGCTACGCTTCTCGCTCTCTCCCTCTCTCCCTGGCTCTCCGTCACTCACATCAGCGCGGTCGGCCGTCAATGTCGCCCCATACCTCCTTCTCGATGTAGCGCCGCATGGCCCGCTTGCGCGCAATGTTCCGCCGACGCACGCACACCACCACCAGCAGCACGAACACGACGCAGGAGAAGAGGCCCCCCACCACCATCACAGCCAGCACCGGTGTGCCTCCCCTAGGGAAGTGGATGGAGGCCACGGGGGGGGGGGGGGGGCAGAGTGTCCGTGTGGTTCCTTGCACATGGCGCTTGTTTTGACTCGAGACATTGCTTGCATTCGCTCTCCCACGGCATCATTTTGTACATTTTCCAGGTTTTTTCCAGGTTTTATCCCGATTGAGCGAGTTGCATCATGTCATGAGACGAAGTGGCCAACTGTATCTCGCAATGCAGCACAACCCTTTGTGTTCAAGAACGGCCCTTGGAAGCGGATGTCCCAGAGCTGCTTCCGAGAGTCACCTCTGGCAGCACTGGGCCACCCACGCTGCATACGAGAGTATTTTTTTTTGTCAAATGACAGTCAGAGTGATATCTAATTCTCACAGCTGGAATTAGACAGTTTAAGCACCGAAGCAATCTTTGAATACGGTGGGGTTTTTTTTGTGAATTCATTGGTGACAAGGCTGAGAGGATCAACTTACTACATTTGAGAACCCAGTTTAAATGACAGATGGCTTACCTGGGATCAAACACAAGCGTTCTCTCAGCGGTGACAGCTCCTCCCGACATGCATAGCTTGCATTTAAATCAAACATCGAATCCAGCTGGACCCAGCATCCGGCTCCATCAAAAAGTTTGTGGAGTTCCATTACCAGTCTAGGGTTGTCTCGGCTCTTCAGCCTTCTGGAGGTGATCAAATAAGTGGCGCTTTGTGAGAAATTAACGTATTTAGTCGAGTGTGGAGACTGGCCGGGCAATGCGAATGACATTTCACTTCCACCGCTGTCTTAAGGCGACCAACAGAGAAGGACCGGGTCCCGTATTTTCTTGAGTTATTGGTGAAATACTTGAAAAGTGTACAGTTATAATTCGCAGCGCACATCGTGGGGCTCTTTAGTGTCCGTGAGATAGCAGGCAGTGCCTTACACTTTTATAAGGAAGATAAAAATAAGCAGTGCATCCACACACTTGTCACCCGCATTCGTCAAAACTGGTGGCATTTACAAGCACACTATGTATTGACAGCCACACACTGCACATACTGAACTGTACTGGGGTGGGTTTTTTTTTTGTTTTACGGATCTGTTGAGGAGCAAAGGTTCAGCGGACCAGCTATATATACCCACGCTGTATTATTCCCGTGCCTGACCTAAACGTGAAGAACGGCATATTAACTCTCGCAACAATTGGGGTGCGGGGAATTTGTCTCACTTGAGAAATCCTTTGCCGTCGTTTCAGATGTTATGAGTGCAAAACTGTTTTGAGAAGTAAGACCACAAGTGGACATTGTCACGAATGCACGGCACCATCATCATTGTGATAATGATTACATAATGGCAGTAAATACATGTTTGCGCTGAGAGAACGTCTAAGAAAATAATTACTCCACGAATGGAACGCGGGTGGATATTTAAACTGATTGGCGGTTCATCCATAAAAAAGCTTACAACTTAAAGATTATCATATGAATGGCATCAAGATACCAAAGACTCAGCCCGTTCATCAATGGGAATTCTATTAAAAGTTTGATGTCCCCGTATTTTCAATTATGCCTGGTTATAACAAAAACACACTTAGAATATCATGGGACCTCCTTTGCCAGTACCAAAATATACTAATATGGTTTTTCACCTTTTTCTGGCAATTTTGTTGCCAGAAAAAAGGGGAAAAAAACCTATTAGTGCACTTAGAATAGTATGATAATAACATTGAGAATGGGACACTACAATTGTCACATCAACGACCTACCCAATGGTCGACTTATTCCAAAGTCCTATGATTATGCAACGATACGACTACAACAAATGAAATGCATTGATGTCCTGTCCAGGGATTGTTTATAAAAATAATGAGAATGCAATGAATAGTGTATGCGTTAGTTCAACACGTTTTGTACGTCCTCCACATATATAGAAACAAAGTCAGTGGCAATTGTGATGGGAATGCTACATTCATGTGGCTGGGTCCAGTCTCTCCATTGCATGACCACTGTTGACTTGCGACAAAAACACTACAAATATATGATTAATAAAAATAAAACATAATAAAACAAGCTCGTGTGCTGTTTCATTCAGACTCTGTCGCCTCGACGGACCTGGTTTTCACCTGAGGACGGCTGCTTGCGTTGTGGCCGAAACGTCGTGAGAATTGTTTTATTATGTTTTATTTTTATTATTTTATTACTTCCCTTCTACGTGACTTTACCGAAAGAACCAAGAAAATATATGATTATTGTACCCATGACGGATGGCAGATTGAGTTTATCGCTTGAGGAGAATGTGAACGGACTACAACCTAGCGTGGTCAGGTCCCTTGCCACAGTGCCACCAGACCATCCTCGAAAAGAGTTCTGAGACTTTTCGATTTAAAGCTTTCGTGACTGCAGGGATTCATCTTCTTGGTTCTTTCGGTAAAGTCACGTAGAAGGGAAGTAATAAAATAATAAAAATTAAACATAATAAAATCATTCTCACGACGTTTCGGCCACAACGCAAGCAGCCGTCCTCAGGTGAAGAATGAAACACCACCAAGCTTGGCGGTGTTTGAGAATGATTTTATTATGTTTAATTTTTATTATTTTATTACTTCCCTTCTACGTGACTTTACCGAAAGAACCAAGAAGACGAGTCCTGAGACTCTCCGACGCATTCGTGGTTAGACGAACAACAAAGCTGAACGTGCTGCCGATGCACCGAGGCACGAACTGAGATCTGTGCTGTGTAAAATTATCTTCTTCCAAGCAGAAACGTCAAAACCAAGAGATCTACTTCACGAATTGCTATTAGACTAATTAGCAGACGGAGCATTTGACAAGCACGGCACGGAAAATGCAGCCCAGTCGCCCATGTAAGGCTCTGTTACGACAACACTGCTACAGAAGCAATCCAGAACAGTGATGCCAGAGCAGCAATTAAAACACCACACCACCGCCATACCTAGAGAGCTATGAGAACAAGGCCTTTCATGTAATGTCCATGTCGGAGTTCCTACAACATTGAGGTTTAAAAAAAAATCACATTTACTGTTTGCTTGTCCATACAATTTTACCTCAGGCTTTGTATACATATATAGTCCATCGATGTTCCAATGGGCATTGCGTAGTACGTGTCTCGGAAGGTTATCCTGAGCGATTGATGGAATCTCCACATTGAGTTATAACATCCCTAGATACAACTGCGAAGGGCGGCCACGTAATATGTGTCAAGGAGTTCCAGCCGGACGAGTCTTGAGCTTCGTCTTCATGTCACCTTCTGCCCACAGTGCATCGCACACCAGGGGATTGCTCCATTCAGGCGCCACGAACCCACTTCTAGCCCTCCCTGTTTCTCATTCCCCATCCTTTCTGGAACTCTCCATGGATCTTCATCAGTTCCCGTGCATGTATCCTACCGATCTCCCAACCGACCCCTCATTTCCTTTTAGTTTTCCCTGACGACCAATAGTATGGATAAATAGCTGCAAGGGATGATGGCCGATGGCCTCGAATAACAATGGAACGGCAGCCAGAGAATGGAACGCGTCGGAGAGTACGGCCACCATGGAGACCGTGTGATGGAGTCTGTTTGTGCGATGGTTCGAGCTGCGTTACTGCACCGAAGGGTTGTGAACGATGGTGATAGCCTGAGGAGGCCTTCATTTAGTACTGGATCAATCATTGCCAATAATTATATTTAAAATCGTAATTTTAGAAAACCTATTCATTATTTTTTTACAAGGGCAATAATATTAGTGTTCAGTTAAAGGTGTTGGATATTTGCTAAAAATAGTCTTGCACTATTAACCAATAACACACTGATGTACCTTTTATCTTTGGCCAAACATCCCAGTGGGCCTAACTGGGCGTCAACAAAACGCTCCTACTGTTCATTTAAACAGATATATTTTATACATATGCTCATGTATAAAATCCATATCAAAAGCATTATAAAATGTTGCCATGCTGAAAATGCAATCCAGCGGTTGCCAGTTCGATTCCCCAGCTCGACATTTGAAACAACGATCCACGTTTCTCAAATCCACCGCCTGCCACCTGTCCACCCAAGCATTATGAATGGGCCCTACAGTTAACCCATCGGGCAGGTCACGTGTGGGCACTCCCACTGCAGCAGGTTCTGTCCGGCGAGAGAGAAAGGGAAGGGAGTTGGAAAAATCCCTCCAGGGGTGGGATTCTCCACAACTCCTTCTCGTGAAGGCGCCTCTGGCAGCAGTGTCGTGAGTAAGCATTGGCAGGGCTGTTGGCAGGGCTGTGACCCTTGCCCTTCGCCAGGTACGAAGTCGCGTGTGTTGACAATGCGACTGCGAAACGTTGATTATCTGCACGCAGCATTAGCGATGTACACAGAGCACCCGATTGGTTTGCGACGGCGCATGCTGTCTCAATTGAGCAAGTCAGAGGTCTCAAAACAAACAGGCAGTATCTAAATGATCAGTCCATTTCAATAAACATTTGAATACTTCTTCAAATACAATGGAATACTAAATTAACTGCACTGCAGCGCAGAGCACCTTTAATATACAGTACTGTACAGAAATAAAATGAATTATGGCCTCAGCATAATCACATCAAAATAGTAGGAACGTATTATTGTGCAAGTTAATTGAAGCAACAAGGATGCAATACGTATGGTAATACCAGTAGTAATGTTGATATCATCTAGCAAGGTAGCGGTGTGGCAGATTGTTTGTTTTACACTTTGATATTGCCAGTGCGAATGCAAGTAGGCTGGAAACAACTCAGCTCATCATCCATTCGGGGTCGATAAAATCCACACCAATTTGTGGGAAGTCAACAGTCATTGTCCGATGGAGAGACAAACCCCGAAAGAATGGAAATAATCACCATCCCACACTTGCATGAGCAAGGAAACACTTTGAATTGAAGGAGAAACACAATCTCCAGTTAACATATGCCAAAAAATACTCACTGTAGACGTTTTAAGTTTCAAAACGGCCACTGCCATTCTACAGAGGACATCTACATCCAGCATGCGTTGGACTGATCATTGACACTGCCGAAG